TTAACTTCTCGGTTCGACACTTCGTCCTGACCACTTGTCTGAGGATGATAGGCAGTCGAAAGCCGGTGAACGACACCATATTTTCTAAGCAACGCCTCCACTGTCTTGTTGCAAAAGTGTGTTCCTCGATCACTGATCATCGGCCGTGGAATCCCGAACCTAGAAAAAAGTGTTAGATTTAATGAAACCTGCAACAACCTTCGAATCGTTAGTCCGGGTGGCCTTTGCTTCCACCCATTTCGAGACATAATCAACAGCAAGTAAGATATATTCATTACCAAACGAAGAAGAAAAAGGGCCCATGAAATCAATTCCCCAGACATCGAAAATTTCACAAATAATAATAGGGTTCTGGGGCATTTGATTCCTTTTAGAAATGTTACCTGTTCGTTGGCAATTATCACACGACTTACAAAATTCATGAGCATCTCGAAAGAGTGTCGGCCAATAAAATCCACTCTCTAACACTTTATGAGTTGTCCGTCTACCCCCAAAATGACCTCCACATGCGTGTGAATGGCAGAACGAAAGAATGGAGTGGAACTCGGCTTCCGGGACACACCGCCTAATCACTTGGTCGGCACAATGCTTCCAAAGGTACGGGTCGTCCCATACATAATACTTGGCGTCGCTCCTGAGTTTATCCTTCATGTGGCTCTTCATACCTGTAGGATACACTTTAGCAACCAGATAATTTACAATATCAGCATACCAGGGTTCGGCAAAATCTGACGTCGCATCTCCTCGATCTTGTTGTTCAGCTACAGCACAGTCGAGTATGGGGGTACCCTGTACTCCTGGGAAGGTACCCCGTATTACAGGGAGCTGCAAGTTTTCAATGCACAGCAAATGCTCGTCTGGGAAACTCTCTCGCAGCTAAAAGTCATCCGAAGCATGTGTCACTCGGCTTAAATGGTCAGCCACAGCATTCTCAGCTCCCTTTTTGTCATTGATCTCTACATCGAATTCTTGCAACAAGAGTATCCAACGAATGAGCCTCGGTTTTGCTTCCTTTTTCGCCAAAAGATGACGTAGTGCTGCATGATCAGAAAAAACAACTACTTTAGTTCCCAATATATATGAACGGAATTTTTCAAGAGCAAAAACCACTGCCAACAATTCTTTTTCAGTTGTGGTATAATTTTCTTGGGCGGGGTTCAATGTCTTTGACGCATAATAGATCACATGAGGCGCCTTATGCACTCGTTGGCCTAGCATTGCTCCTACAGCATAGTCGCTTGCGTCACACATTATCTCGAACGAGAGATCCCATTTAGGTGGCTGGATGATTGGAGATGTGGTCAGCTTCTCCTTCAGTGAATCAAACGCCTTTTTGCAATCTTCGTCCACCCGAAATTCCACATCTTTTTGCAGCAATGAGCACAAAGGGGCAGCTGTCTTCGAGAAATCCTTGATGAATCGACGATAAAATCCTACATGGCCAAGAAAGGAACGCACTTCTCGGACACTTGCGGGGTAAGGCAAAGCAGTAATAATATCGACCTTAGACTTATCAACTTCAATACCTCGCTTAGAAACAATGTGTCCCAAAACAATCCTCTGTTCTACCATGAAATGACATTTTTCCCAATTAAGAACAATATTTGTTTCTATACACCGTTTTAAGATTAAAGCAAGGTTCTCGAGGCCCGAATTAAATGACTCACCATAGACACTAAAATCATCCATAAATACCTCTATTATATTGCCGACGTATTCCGAAAAGATGCTCACCATGCACCGTTGAAATGTGGCCGGCGCATTACATAATCTGAAAGGCATGCGTCTGTAAGCGAATGTCCCGAACGGGCAAGTAAATGTGGTCTTCTCCTGATCCTCGGGTGCAATGGGAATCTGAAAATAACCTGAATAGCCATCTAGAAAACAATAATAAGAATAGCCTGCCAATCTCTCCAACATTTGATCAATAAAAGGTAATGGAAAATTATCCTTACGAGTCATTGCATTTAACTTACGATAGTCGATGCATACTCTCCACCCGGTCTGTACACGAGTGGGAACCAACTCACCTACCTGGTTCTCGATCACAGTCACACCAGACTTCTTTGGAACCACTTGCGTCGGGCTCACCCACCGGCTATCCGAGATCGGATAAATGACTCCAACGTCCAGCAACTTGATGATTTCATTCTTCACCACCTCCATCATAGGAGGATTCAGCCGTCGTTGTGCCTCTCGAGATGGTTTAGCGTCTTCCTTGAGAAGAGTACGATGCATGCAAATGGACGGGCTTATCCCACGCAAATCGGCAATGGTCCATCCGATAGCTCGTTTGTAATTCTTCAACACTTCAATGAGGGCTGCCTCCTGGTCAGGTTCCAACTTCGATGACACTATCACTGGGAGTGTTCGATCATCTCCCAAATAAGCATACTTCAAGTGGCTCGGCAAGGACTTCAGTTCTAGCTCCGGTGCCTGCAAAGTAGAAGGAAGAATTTTCTTATCAAGCTCAGGTAACCGCATAAAATTTTTATCATGCTTTCCAAGATATGGTTTCAGCGTATTCAAGGCTGTTACGGCCTCATTAATAAGCTCCAGCTGGTAACAAAATTCGGTTTGGTTGCTATCTCTCTGCAGTCCGAGTATGGGGTCGCCCTGTATTCCTGGGCAGGTGCCACATACTGTTTGGTTATTGTCCAAACTTTGTGAAATCACAAGCTCCAGCTGGTCCTCCCTATAAGTGTCGAGAAACTCCTGTGCCAACGGTTCAATACAGTTAAGTAAATAAACACAATGGTCAGATTCAGGAAATTTCATGGCATCAAAAATATTAAACCGAATAACATTGCCATCGAACTCCATTGTGAAAGTGCCTTCACGAACGTCGATTTTCGTTTGAGCGGTGTTCAAGAACGGCCTCCCTAACAAAATCGGGGTTGATATAAGAGTCCTGTCATTCATACTCAACACATAAAAGTCAGCGGGAAAAATGAGCTCATTAACCTTAACGAGAACATCCTCAATTACCCCATCCGAAAAAGTAGTACTTCGGTCGGCAAGTTGAATTACCACCCGAGTTTCTTTAAGAGGACCCAAATTTAAGGAATCAAAAATAGAGCGAGGCATAACATTAATTGATGCTCCCAAATCGAGCATGGCTTGCTCGATTTTTAAATTCCCTATTGTGCATGGAATCGAAAACATACCTGGGTCGCTTCTCTTTTGGGGCAAATCCTTCTGAAATATTGCCGAGACTTCTCTCCCATCAAAACCTTTTCATTCCCTTCCAGCCTTCGCTTGTTGGTGCATAGGTCCTTCAAAAATTTGGCTTAACGAGGGACTTGCTTAATTGCATCAATGAGAGGAATGTTGATCTCGACTTTCTTGAACATATCAAGAACTTGCTTCTCAGCATCTTCCTTTGCTGCCTTTTGTACCCTGGACGGAAACGGTAGAGGTTCGGGTTTCAGTGGAGGGCAAATCGGACGGCCCTTGAGTCTTGCACTCTCAGCAGGCTGAGTACTAGGTCTCCGTGTATTCTGCTGCTCGGCCCCATATTCTGCTGACAGATTCTCTTTTTCACCTTCATTCTTCTTGTTTTGAGTCTTCGGGGCTTCTAATTCTTTCCCACTCCGCAAGGTGATGGCACTGACATTTTTAGGGTTGATCTCAGATTGAGATGGAAGTCGGCCCCCGAGTTGTGCATCTAGTCGGCTCATATGTTCCGCCAATTGGCTCATTTGGCCTTCTAAGTTTTTGATGCTCACTCCTTGGCTCTTGATATTCATCTCCTGATTCTTGATGCTCTCTTGAACACCCTGCTGAAAGTTCATGGAACTAGTGGCAAGCGTCTTGATCATCTCTTCTAGGGAAGATTGTGGCATGGAGTTCGGTTGACCATTACCCGCTTGTAGTGGAAAGTTTTGGCCTCTTTGGAAAATTTGAGGTGGTCGATTATCTTTCTTCGCATATACTCCCCTTGATGGGTTTCCATATCGAAGGTTGGGGTGATCTCTCCAACCGGGATTGTAGGTGTTGGAGAAAGGGTCATAGTTTCGGCCTGGCCCATTGTTGGAACCAATCGCGTTCGCTTGTGCCTCCACCTCGCCATTGATTAGAGGGCAATTGTCCGTGACGTGATCAGTCGTCTCGCAACGCATGCAAGGTTGCAACCTAGGAAAACCTTCTGTGGCTAATTTCCGGACAAAAGTCGTCAACTCTTTAACTTGAGACTCCAAAGCACCAATACCAGCTTCATTCACCGTCTGAAAAGATGCTTCCCGAGTGCCAAATTGCTGGGAATTAGCTGCCATGGTGTCTTGTCCATAAGAGTGCCTTCACTTGCCGCATCGAGCATGTTCCTATCCATGAGGGACAACCCCTCGTAGAAGTACTGAATTAGCAGTTCCTCTGTCATCTGGTGTTGGGGACAACAAGCAATGAGTCTCTTGAATCTCTCCCAATACTCGTATAGCGTCTCTCCATGCAACTGCTTAGCACCACATACCTCCTTATGCAAATTCGCCACCCTTGATGCTGGAAAGTACCGTTGGAGAAAAGCTTTCTCCATGTCAGCCCACGTGGTGATGGACCCCGACGGTAAGTAGTATAGCCAATCTTTGGCTCGGTCCTTCAATGAAAATGGAAACGCCCGAAGCTTGATCTGCTCCTCGGTCACCCCGGCGGGTTTCATTTCGGAACAGATGGTATGGAACTCCTTCAGGTGCATGTGAGGGTCCTCGCCTGAGAGGCCGTTGAATGATGGAAATAAGTGTATGAGGCCAGACTTAAGCTCGAAGGTAGCGTCATTCACCGTCGGAAATGTTATGCACAAGGGTTGTTGAAGAAGTCGGGGATTGGCTAGTTGCCTTAACGTACGTTCTTGCTCTCCCGCCATTGCTTCTTCCTCACTCGAAGAATCAAAATATTCAGTATAATCGGGTTCGCTGGAAGAACTATGGTAATCGGTAATCTCCGGATGGTCTTGCTCTCGGTTTTCTTGCGATTCCCTTGCCAACCGTGCTAGCCTCCGATTTTCCTTATCCTTCCTTGTGATTTTCGGGTTGTATGTCAATGGTTTCTGTCCAGAAGACCTCGTGTTCATTCACCTGAAAAACAACTGAAACTATAAGTATCGAATGCAACAAAATATAATGAAAGGAACAAAATTCACACCTATTCTGCACAGCGAATATGGGGTCGGTATATTCTGTTGCACAGAGTACTGGGGGACCCCGTACTACTGGGAGCAGAAAAATGAAAAGAAATAAAATGAAAGCAAGTAACAGGGGGGGTTCGAACTGATTTTACTCCTAAATGAAAAATAAAAATAAAAATAAGAGAATAAGCTGAAAATAATTATAAAAACTAATCCTAATTTCAATTAATGGAAAAAAATTAACAACTCAATTCTGTTACTCCCCGGCAACGGCGCCAAAATTTGACCGCGCGTCGCGACACGGTCAAAATATAATAATAATTTTCCTTAACCGACTTCTACCAGCTAGCAGTAGTAGTGAGCAAGGGTCGAACCCACAGGGAGTGTGGAATTTAATTGTAATTATTTTCTTTAATTGAAACTATAGAAATACTAATAAAGAGGGGGGTTATGGTATGAATTAACTAACTACTAGAATTATTAATAGCAAAATGAACTCAAATGCAGCAAATGAAAATGATTATCAAATAAATGGGGAAGTTTCTAGTCCACGGTTCCGTCTATACCATCGACTGACTCGTCTAATCAATTTTAGTATCAGATTTCGCTATCTCATAGAATTACTAGCCCTAGGTAACGACACGGTCTGTTACACGAATTTTTTCTTATTTTTAATTTAACCGCGAGATGCTCGACGATTAAACCTGACTTCTTGTACAGTCCGGAAAAACGTTTTCAAGATTTAATACAATTGGTCGCTTTACGAATTAGAAAAATAGGCTAGACTAATTAGTGAACTCAACCGCGTTCGTTCACTTAATTAGGCCGTGTTATCCCCGGTAGTTACCATCTTCCGATTACCTCTTATGAATTAAACACAACAACAATTACAGATTGCAGGTCTAATTCAGATGTAGATATGAAAAGGCTAATCTAGGTGATCAATCTAAACAAGACTAACACATCATGGTGAATTATTCAAAATAACACAAGCAATTCCAAAAAGATATTAAAATCGTCAACCATATAATCAATCAAAACATAGTCAATGGTAGGGTTCGACTTCCCCGGAACTAGAATAAAGGAACTACTCGCTCATAGTGTTCGAAAATATAGTCATAAAATGAATTACACGAGAAAAAATAAACAAAGAAAAGAAAAGAATAATAGTCTCTGTCAAGCCGGTGTCCACTGTGTGCGATGCTTTTCTCTCTTCACAGTTCTCCGCTCCAATAGGTCTCCGCCGCAATGTGCAAAGTCCCCCCCTTTAAAAACAAAAGTCTCCAAAATATATATATTTCTTCCTGGCCACGTCACTTCCCTTGTGCTTGTCCCCGAAAATCACAAGTTTTAATTCCTTTGACTAAGTCCACCAGACCCTCTTTAGTTTTAATAATTGCAGCCCACTTGTAATAAATTTTATGCCAACTCATGTGAAGTGTATGGGCTTAACCCAATACATGGGTCTGCTTCATGCAATACGGGGTCTGCTAGATCAGTACGGGACACCCCCGTACTCGCCAGAAGCTCTTCTTCGACTATCTTCCGTTCATCTAAACTTCACCGTGCAACCCGAAATAGCTCCAAAAGTACTGAAAATCACTCAAAACTCATCAAAGCACGAGAGTTGATCATAATATCAAATAAGTCGAAATATGCATAAATGCGAGGAATTAAACGTGCACAATTACAACATTAGACCATTAATACAAGCACGATTTCCGACGAATCAACAACGTATATATCTTACTAAATAAAATACAAGGTAATTATTAGCCACTAACAATGTCACTTCCAAAGGTGTGTATTTCAATGTAACTTCCTGTGTATTTTTAACTTCGATATGAATTTAAGTTCCAAACTGAATTGTGTATTTTTAACTTCCATGTATTAGACGTGTTACTGTGTTGGGTTAATATTTTATAAAAATAAAAAATAAAAAATAAAAATCCAATGATGGTGTTTTATTTGGACTTTTTTTAGTGTTGTTAAGTATGTTTGACTGACTTACATATTAAAAAATAAAATATTTTATTTATAAGGCTAAAGTAATTAAATACCTACCATTTAACACTTAAATCATAATTTTATGTTATCGCGATATTAGTATTAACTAAAATCATAATTTTATGTTATCTCGATATTACTATTATGCAATGTTCTGAAAACCGAACCGGTCATCGAACCGGTGAAGCTACCGGTTCAATGGTTTACTGGTCGGACCAGTGGTCGAACTGGTCGAACCGGTTTAATTAATATATAATTTGTATTTATTTTATATATATATATATAATATATAATTGCATATATTTTTATCATTAATTTTATAGTGTATATAAAGAAAAAAATAAATAAAAAACCGTGCATAGTCTAATTTTTTTAGCTACCATGATATTATAATATTATTAAGTAATATTTTTCCAAATAAATTAATGTGATTGTAATGAAAGAGAAATTATGAAGGCCAATAAAGTGTCACCATAAATTTAATAACAATTTTTAAACTATTAGTTCAGATGCGCCATTAGTTTTTTTTATTTTTTTATTTTTTATAGTCATATTTATTTTTTATTTTTTTCCAACGACAAACAAGATAAAATTACTCAAACAATAGTCTTACAATGCGAGGCCTAAATAGGCACAAATATTACCTATGTAAACTCGAAAGCTTACTCATGCAACAACAGAATGATGTTTACAAATCATCTTGAGAAGCCATTTTGGCTAAATGGATACAATATTTACAATGGAAAACATCAAAAATAAAATCACAGAATCTAAAAGAAGACCAAAGTTGCTTGAAAGCCCTGGCATCAGAACTCAACTGCTCCATATCTTCAGATAAACCTTGAATCCACTCCACCATTGCCCTGCAATCTATGAAGCAAATGATATCCCTCCACCCTTTGTCTTTGGCCTGGTCCAGCACCCAATAGATTCCTTCAATGTAGGCCTCCACTGAACTTCCCATGATGTCCCTAGATGCATCCCACAAATGAAGAACCCTATTTTCAGTGAATGCCTTACCACCCAACCCCAGTTTCCCATTTTGAACCCAACAGCTGACTGCAATCCCTATCTTCTCCATCTGCTCCTCCCCCCTTCTACTGACAGACATCCTCATATTGCTACTGCCTCTAATCTCATCACTCCCCTTAACCTCTGTCTCTATTCTTCTCCTTGCAGTTCTCACTGGGTCCTCACAGTCCCTAAACAGTTGCCAGTCACCAAGAGCTTTCTGGACAATTTTGTGCTCCCTAACCCAACTATTCCTAGTTTTCCAAAGCCACCACAAAAGATAAGTAGATAAACTGATCCTATCAATCATGTGGTAAGCCTTAGGAGCAGTACAAATCTCATACCACCACACCCCAAAGTCAGTGTCTGCCTTAGCCATCTTATCCCAGCTCACTCCCAATAACTGCCAGCACACCCTAGCCCTATTACAATTAAACAGAATGTGATTCAAGTCCTCATCATCCTCCCCACAAACATCACAAATCAATTCACACCCCAATACTCTCTTAGCCAACTGCCTTTTAGAACTAATAAAATCATTCCAGCACCTCCATAAAAAGTTTTTGATTTTGTTCTGGATTGGCAGCCTCCAAGTGACCCTCCACATTTTATCTACCTGAGTCATAGTACTACTGGAAGCCCTATCACTAATGTTCGGCCTGTTCTGCTTCATAATCATCTCATACACATTTTTAACAGAAAACACACCATCCTTCTTCCCATGCCACACCCACCTATCACTCATACTCACAGCATTCAGGGGAATATTCAAGATGGCTTCAGCAGTATTAGGTTCAAAAGTCTGGTGGATTAGGTCCCTATCCCACTGGCAACCCCCTTCTCCCATAAGATCCCTCACCTTACTCAATCTAGCCCTATCCTCTAAAAACCTGCAAGCAGGGATAAACCCTTTAATCTCAGGGATCCAGGGAGATTCCCATATATCAGCTAACCTACCATCCCCTATCCTATACCTAATACCCAACTGGAGGGATTTCCTAGCACCTAACCAACACTTCCATAACCAAGAGTCTCCCCCTCTGCTTTTGACATCCCACAATTTAGACTTAGGAAAATATCTACCTTTGATTACCCTGCTCATCAACAGATTAGGCATTGTAAGCACCCTCCACAACTGTTTCACTAAGAGAGCCTCATTGAAAGCTCTCAAATCTTTAAATCCTAACCCCCCTTCTCCCTTAGACTGAGTTAACCTATCCCATCTAGCCTAATGCCATTTGTTTCCCTGCCCACTATCTTTTTTCCCCCACCAGAAATTAACAGAATCTCTACAAATGTCATCACACACACTCACATGCACCCTATAACAAGACATAATATAAGTAGGAATTGCCCCTATCACTGATTTCAGAAGAACTTCTGTCCCTGCTTCACTCAAATACACATTTTTCCAACTAGAAATTCTGTTTTTTACTGTCTCACTCACAAACTGGAAAGTTGCTCTCTTAGACCTACCAATTCCCAAAGGGAGACCCCAAGTACTTAGAAGTTCTGACTTGCTTGATCCCTTGCAGAATGTTACACACACTAGAAATAGTAGAATTATCAGAATTCTTAGAAAAAAAAGATAGAGGATTTATCCAAATTGACTCTTTGACCAGAAGCAGACCCATATTCAGAAAGAATTGTGAGAATCAGGTGAGCATGAATAGCATCAGCTTTACAGAGTAACAAAGAATCATCTGCAAAGAACAAATGAGAACTTACAGGAGCCTCTCTCCCCACCCTAATCCCCTGATACTTCCTATTAATTCTAGCTTAACAAATCAAATTAGAGAAAGCTTCTGACACAAGAATAAAGAGATAAGGGGATAAAGGATCCCCTTGTCTCAATCCTCTACTAGCCCTAACAAACCCTGAATTAACCCCCTTCACATTAAAACTAAAAGATGTGGAACAGATGCAAGCTAAAATCCAATTAACAAACCTCTGACAAAAACCCATCTTTAAACAAACCTTAGCTAAAAAACCCCACTCAATTCTATCATAAGCCTTAGACATGTCCAATTTCACAGCCATAAATTTCTCCCTACCACCCCTTTTGCTATTAATGTAATGAATACACTCATTAGCAATGATAACATTGTCCAAGATTTGCCTACCAGGGACAAAAGCAGATTGAGCAGTGGATACACACACATGCAGGACAGTCTTCAATCTATTGGCAAGGATTTTAGCAATAAGTTTATACAAGACATTGCACAAACTAATGGGTCTGAAATCAGCAACCTGGGTAGGGTGCTTTCTCTTAGGGATAAGAGTGATGATGGCATGATTAATGCCCTTAGGGATTCTCCCATTCTGGAAAAAATTGGAGACAGCCTCCCCTACATGACCTTTAACTATGGACCAGGAACTATGAAAAAAACCTACTGTAAGACCATCCTCCCCTAGGGCTTTATCCTTATGCATATCACAGAGGGCTTCTCATATCTCTTTTTCAACAACATCCTCAGTGAGTTTAGTGTTCATATCAGAGGATATAGAAGTGGGAATTCCCTCAAGATTGCAGGACTCCAGCCGAGGGTTGGATGACTTAAATAAGTTGGCAAAATACTCCTCAAGCACCTCAATAGTATCCTGATCACTTCTACATTTAGACCCATCAGCCTTACACAAATTACCAAGGCTATCACCCCATCTCCTCTGTTTAACAGAGGCTTGGAAGAACTTGGTATTCTTATCCCCACATTTCAGCCAATCGACTCTGGCTTTCTGTTGCCAGCTTCTCCATGTTGATAAGCTATATGCAACTTATTTCTACAGATCCTCCACTCCTCCCAATCTCTACCAGCACCCTGGACTTCCAACTCCCCTAACCTACCTTTGAGTCTATCCATTTCCTTAGCAGAGTTATGAGGGAATGTAGAAATCCATCCCAGGATAGCTTTTCTAACACTCCTAACTCTACTTTGGATACTGAATAGACTATAACCCCCCAAAGGGATATTCCAAGCCTGTGCAATCACATCCTGGAACCCCTCAGCCTTAGTCCATCTATTGTCAAAGAAAAATCTCTTAGGATTCCTGACCACAGGCCCCTCTGATTCCAACAAGAGCATGCAATGATCAGAAGATAAAAGGGGAAAATGAGTGACAACAGCATTAGGGTAAGACCTAAACCAGTCAGGAGACAGGAAAAACCTATCTAATTTTTCCTCTATGAAGTTGAACCCTTGTCGGTGATTGGACCAGGTGAAAGGGTGTCCAATCACTTTACTGTCCACAGCCCCTAAACCCCTAACCTAATTCCTAAAACATCTGAAACTACTCTCCTCTCTCACCATCCCGCCCCTTTTCTCTTGATTAGAGAGAATAGAGTTGAAATCCCCACCCACAAACCAGTGGCTACCCCACCTGAGACTATGTCTCAACAAAATACTAAATTGAAAAGTTCTCTCAGAGGGTATGCTGCTAGCATAGACAAACACCCCCCACTAAGCAACATCACTGTTCTAAAATTTAAACAACACTTCAATGCAAAACTCAGTGCATTCAATTTTATCCACTGAGATGTTAGCAGACCAGTAAAGCAAAAGGCCTTCACGAGATCCTACCGGGTTAACAACTACCCATCTATCATCAAACTTACAGTTTCTACAAACAGTCTTAACAAATTTTTCTTTTTTTTTGTTTCAGAAAGAAAAAGAAAATCTGGGAGGTGAGTCTTCATAGACTCTTTGATTTGGGAAATTGTAGAGGGTCCCCCCAACCCTCTACAATTCCACACCGCAACTTTCATTGGTCACCTTGGGACCAGTTGTGGCTGGTTTCCTCCACCAAAGAAATAGACAAATCAGAGTTTTTAGCTTTCTTCTTCCTACCACTGCTCTCCAAATCAAATTGATCAGAATCCAAACATAGACCTATATTTTTCTTATTTCCCTCCATTCCACCCAGCCTAATTCCCCCTTCCTTACCCTCTATCCCAGCATTCACCCTATTCCCTCCTTTAACACTGGCTCTGGTTTTCCTCACAAAAGTTTTTTTCTTTTTCTGGCCTCTCTTATCCCCAAGAGGGGCAGCTTGGACAGCAATGTCCATGAGCTGGGAATCATCATGCTCCTCACCTAGATGATCCTTCTCACCCTCCTCTCTAATCTCCTCACCCACATAATTGTTCTCAGCAAGCCTATCAGACACCTCAAGGCCAACTGATCTAACTATCAGCACCCCATCATCAGAGATTTTATCATTATTCCCCTTATTACTATCAGCATTACCCAACCCACTACCCTGAGGAGCAGGTCTAACAGACTCACCCCCACCACTCCTCCCATGAGTACTACCCCCTGCTGAGGAGTTAACACTTCTAGATTCTAAGAAACTAATAGGGGTAGCTTTGAGCCAATCACCAAACTGGCCATGCTTAGCTACCCCTTTTGCAACATCCTCTTTCTTAGTGCCACAGTTTCTGTCGGTGTGACCCACCTTACCACAGTAGAAGCAAAATGTTTGGAGATGTTCATATTTGAAATCTACCCAGTGGCATTCATTGCCCAGCTTAACATTAGCTCCCCTAGGTAGAGGTTCAGAAAGTTTCATCTCCACCAGAATTTTAACCAGGTTACCATCCCAACTCCCAGCAGCAGGAACTAGAACATCTAAGACTTTCCCCACTAATTTTCCCAATTTGAACCCAGTTTCCATGGCCACCCAATGGAGAGGAAGGTTATGAATTTGAACCCATACCTTAATGGCTTCCTCCTCCTCCAAAAATTCTACCTGGCCAGGAACCCATTTTTTAAGCAAGATATACTGGCCATCAAATGACCAGGTCTTGCCGTTAAGGATCCCATCCAAGTCCTCCCCCGATTGAAAGAGGAATTGAAAGAGATTGAACCCAATGCACTTGATAGAAAATGGATTTTTAGACATCCAAATACTATTAAGAGTGGCTTTCAGCCCAGAAAAGTTGACTTTCTTATCCCCAAAAACCTTGCCAATAAGACTCAATCTGCAATCTTGGAGAGTAGGGGCAATGTCTAGATCTGCTAGCTCAACCCCTACCTCTTCTTTTTTAGATAACCTGAATTTCTGGAGAGAATCAGACAACTCACACGCCATACTCTAACCCTAAACAAGACAGCGCCCACAGACTCAAACCCTACCTGACCCAAGCCTCACAAACACAAAACCGAAAGATAACCAGATCTACAAAGCACAAGAGAAACCTCCCCCCAAAATCTAAAAAGCAGAAAATAAACCAAACCCCACGCCTCTCACACTAGACAGGGAATACGAGAGAGAGAGAGATTAGCACCTGTAATACTTGATATACGCAAATCAAAGATAATACGATCATAATCACCAAAGAAGGAACAGGAACGAGCAGAGGATCAAGCAATGACCAAACCCTAACCCCAACCTCACGAGGAGAACAAGTCTATAGAGAGAGAAAACTTTCCAAAAAGGAAACTAAAGTTTTTACCCACAGATTTATCCAAGCCTCATCCGATGTTTGTTCGCCTTGATTAGTCATATTTATTATTTACCACTAGCCATTTAGTTAGGTTTTCACTTTTCACATTTCTCTATATCAATGCTCACGTTTCCTGTCAGAAGTCAGAACAGTAAGGCCTATATTTCCTGTCTAAAATAGATTAGGGCCTAATAAAGCAACAAGGGCCCAATAATTTCGCTAACACTTTATTTGGAATGCTCCCACAACGGTAAAAGAAACAAAATTCTTCCTCTATTTAACTGCTTGTACAACATCATCTATGCAAAGCCAATTGGACTGGTTGGCCGGATGAACCACTATCGGTTTTGACCGGTAGAAATGGTTTTTAGCCGGTTTTGAGCTTGAACGATTCTGTACCTCAAATCAGACCGGAGTATTGACCAGTTCGCGGTCGAACCGGCCGGTGCATACCTCGGTTTTTAAAATTAACTTCTTAATGTTTGTATGTATATTTTTTAGGGGTGTTCACGGTCCGGTTTTAACCGGAAAAAACCGTCAATCTGGATCGCGGATCGGTTAAATGGTCAGTTAAAAAAGCCTTAAAAAATTCGGTGGTTAATTTTTTAAAAAATCCAGAATAACCGGTCCGGTTAACGGATTACCTGCGGCAAACCGCCGGTTTAACCGGACCGGACCGGTAAATATTAAAAAACTATAACAAATATATATATATATATACATTCAGTCATTCATTGTGGCTGACAAATACAATACATTCACTATGAATGCTTTGCTCTTATTATTTCAGGTGTATAAACTGACTGAAAAATGAATGTTTGCTTGAGTTCAGTTTGCATAATTAATCTTCATCATTTTTGTATTTTTATGTTTATGGGAGGAAATGTGCATTTTTATGCTTATGAGACGAATTGTGTACTTTTTATTTCATTATTGTTGTCTTTCTTAATTTTTAAGCCCAAATAATCTCTTTAGGACCCAAAATTGAAAAACAAAAATTAAGCCCAAAATGAAAAAAATAAAAATTGAAGGCCCAAAACAAGTTTTGGATTTAACCGGTTAACCGCCAAACCGGACCGTCCAATGCGGATTGGACGGTCCGGATTGTGGCCGGTTAAAAATAAAACCGGTCCAGTTATGGACAAGAAAAAAAATTAACCGTTAGGTCCGGTTTGGTCATGGTTTGAGCTAAAACCGGACCAATCCAGACCGTCAACACCCCTAATATTTTTAACTTCGAAATTACTTTAACTTCCAAACTGACTTTTTAACTTTAACTTCCAAACTGACTTTTTAACCGGTTTTGAGCTTGAACGATTCTGTACCTCAAACCGGACTGGAGTATTGACCGGTTCACGGTCGAACCGGCCGGTGCATACCTCGGTTTTATTAACTTCTAAATGTTTGTATGTATATTTTTAACTTCGATATGACTTAACTTCTAAACTGACTTTCATAGTTTTACGTGTGTATTTTTAACTTCCATATATTAGACGTATGACTTTAACTTCCAAACTGACTTTCATTTTACGTGTGTATTTTTAACTTTCATATATTCATGGTTTTACATTCGTATTTTTAACTTCCATATATTAGACGTGTTACTGCGGTGGGTTCATATTCTTTAAAGAAAAATTATGAGTACTTTCATGGTTTTACGTGTGTATTTTTAACTTCCATATATTCATGGTTTTACGTGTGTATTTTTAACTTCCATATATTAGACGTGTTACTGCGGTGGGTTCATATTCTTTAAAAAGAATTATGATCGTATTTTGTTTTGGACTGTGTTTAGTGTTGTTAAGTCTGTTTGACTTATTTACGTATTAAAAAACAAAGTATTTTATGAACATACGTAAAGTTATAAGTTTAAAATAATTAAATACCTACTCTTTAATACGTAAATCATAATATTATGTTATCACGATATTACTAATAAATACAAAATGTATTTACGAAATACTCTTTATATTATGTAATCTAATATTTATTACATATATTGCATATATATGTAATACTATTTGTTTAGTAGATTAATTTATCATGAAAATATGTTTTGGATTTTTCAACTTGTTGTGGAAAAATGAATCAAAAAATATTTTATAAATATGATGTTATTTATTTATTTATTTATTTATTATGAAGAATGTTTGAGTGTAATTCATTGCGGATGTGTTGAATATATTTATATCTAATTTAACTACTATTAGATTTTATTTTTATGTACAAAATTTAAGATAAAAAAACTTATAAAATTCAGGCAAGAAGCACACGAACACTTATAATTATGTTAATTTGTATAGTATAAATTATGAAAATTAGATATATAATTTAAACTAAAATCTTTAATAAAAAATAAAATAAAATTTTATAAAAGTATCTGTCAAGTACAAACATGTCATACTTTTAATTGTTTGTATTCAAAAAAAATGAGTCACAAATGATGAACATGGGCAAAATCATTAAGGAATGGATCTTTGGAAACATCTTGTATTGAAAACAATGAGTCACAAATGATGAACATGGGTAAAATCATTAAGGAATAGATCTTTAGTAGTTATCGATAAACGAAATAAATATTAGTTGAGGTAGTTAATATCTATATATATATTAAACCAAAGCAGCTCAAAGAAAAAAAATTTCCCGCCTAAACTATAATAAATACATGTCATTATTAGTGGTATTAATGTTGAAACAAGCCACTCATTAAAAATGCTCTCTGAAATTAATGATTAAAATTAAACAAAATTTAATTGAAAAATGTTAATTGAAGTTATTCCTTACAAACTTAAATACATAGTAATATGTGCCATTAATTCCAAAAATATAACTACAACTTATTAACTTTCAAAATATAAATATATTATTTTTCCATTTTCACAATTATTTCAAAACATTCTATATACAATGTTTCTATCATTCGAGAAGCCAAATTTATAGCATTTATATTATAGTTAAAGAAATAATATAGATCACAAATATATAGATAATCTATATATGTATAATAATAATAATAATAATAATAATAATAATAATAATAATAATAATAATAATAATAATAATAATAAGTAGCATGAGAAAACAAAACTTGAGCCTAAACAATATACAAAAAATAGAATTATATTGTTTGGAAAAAATAGTCAGTCGAATCTTATTGAATTTTCGTGTTCGATCTAATATTCAACCAAACTTCATACTTTTTTATATTGCTTTCTAATAAATTTTAAAAATAAAATACAAACATAGATAGATACAATGTAAATTTATATTTGTCATAAATAATGTAATTTATTCTACTAAAAGGGAGATTTAAAAAAAAATCAAAAAGTATCAACTACGGGTATTAGGTACTAACATGCATATCCATATGAAATGTATCTCGAAAATAGTGAATAACCTATTTACTTCCACAAAAGTTGATTTGAACTTAGGTTTCTTTTACCAATATCAACCATGAAAATGAAAAATAAATAAAACAAAAGGGAAAAAAAGGACAACTTAGAATCGAACATAACATCAAAATTTGATTATACTTATAGAAGAAAAATACATAAATATCTCAGAACTAACATTAGAAAAATAGAAATGATAACATACAAATTCAGAGATTTGCATGATTTCAGAAAGGCGCAACTCACGTCTTTAATTGTGAAATTGAAGAGAAAATTCATATTGGTTTTGGTCTGATTGCTGGTGTTGTATGACCCAAAAAATACAAAATTTATTTAGTATTTTTTAGTTGGCAAAATTTATTTTATTTTTGTCAATTTATTGAAGAGGCCATCTAAACGTATGTGCATACTTTTTTTTGTCATTATTTTAATTATAAAATTATAATTATTGAAAAAGAAAAGCATAACGAGTTAACTTATTGTAAATTTTTTATTCGCACATCTATATTGTTTCACAATAATGATGGAAAGATATGATCTTCATCAAAACATTACGACAAATAAAGTTCTGCACGAAATACTACAAATACGACAACTTTTTTTTAATCATGCATCACAAGTGTTAGTTTTACTTTTTTATTGTTTTAGTGCTATATATTATATTTTAAATATTTTATTGTTATTATTTTACAGTAACTCTATCAAGGTGTATTTGTAACAAAATATGTTAAATTATGATTCTCATAAATTCAGTGCAAAATAAGTGTTGGTTATTGATCTAATCATTGATGCTATCAATGATTAAATGTATCTGGACCTAATTTGAAATTAAATGCATGCAATTCAAAATGGGGTCAATTTTGTATTTTTTTTCTTGAGTATTTAATTTATATATTTAATTTTAATGGGCTCATATGTGTACATGTTTATTTCAATTATTCTATATCAGTTTATCTATATAATAATAATAATGTCTTCAGTTATTCACAAATGTAGAAAATTATGTAATTATCAAGACATTTTTAGGGAAAAAGTTTTCAAGAAGTGTCATTAATGTGACAAATATCAATTTTCATCGAATATCACAAATATTTTTTTAAGTTAAATTTGTTTAATTTGAAAATATTTATGAAAAATACATATGGTATTTTATAATCACAATCAGTTATATGTTGTTTTTTCTATAATTACGATTTGTGTTGTGTGATAATTATTATTTATGATTATAATGGTAGCTATGAATATAATTTATCCACTAATAATATATTTACATATAATGAATAAAATTTTCATCCTACTTTTTTTATTATCTCTACATATATTTTATGACTAATTTGTATATATTTAAATTTTAATTTATTCACATCATTTTTTAACACCAGGCCGCGTAACGCGCGGGTCACATACTAGTTAATATAAATATGAAGACGTATCAAACAGTGCGAGGACTTTCTCAAAATAGTAATCTAAAAATGGCAAGTGAATTACCTAATTATATAGTAGATAGATGATAGTGTATCTAAACAGTTGCGTTTAAAATTTTAGAAAAATAGTTAGTTGTTAAGTTATACTATAATTATTTGGAATGAAATTTATATAGTTAAATATATATATTTTATATTACCTCAATTATAATTTTGAAAAACTAAATATTATTTATATAAGTTT